GCGCACACTCACACCACATGATGTACGTGTATGCATGCACACGTCTCACTGTGTTTGTGTGTGAGTGTGTGTGTGTGTGTGTGTGTGTGTGTGTGTGTGTGTGAGTGTGTGTGTGTGTGTGTGCACTGGCTGCTGTGTCCGGGCCACGATGTGCGGCGCAATAGGAAGAAGCTGTAGACAGAGGAGAAGAGAGCAGCCAATTAGCACCGAAGACGGCGGAGCTGCCTACCCGCCCCGGGCTCCAAGATACAAAGGTCGACAGCGGGGTATGAGAAAGCCAAAGCTCCGGACAGCCTAAACTCCCACAGCCCACTTTCTCCACTACGAGCTGTCATGCGGGATTTAAAGTGATACACATCATCCCTGCAGCTGCAGAGAGCCCACGCTGTCACTGTCTCTTTAAGAGGACAATAGTCGACTTTCCCCCCAAAAAAAGCAAAACCGGCAGTGAGTTAACCATTAAAAGGCCACTTCTGGCAACATGCAGGAGTGATATGCAAGACACAATTCATGTGCTAAGTTAGAAGTTGGCAAAGGAAAGAGTGATGCCATTTCTGCATTTTGAAAAATTTATAATCAAAGGAATAACAGGTGTTCTCTCAGTTAAATTATGCCAAATTCCTTACATTTTACGTGACAAAAAGTTTTAGTTTTTTAGCTTCCCTCCTCCCTGAAAGGTCTGAAATGGTCATCAAAAGGAACACCGCTTTTTAAAGCAAGCAAAGTAGAAGGCTACATGTAAATAGTACAGTTTTTTAGGCACTCGTTATTTACTTTAGTATTTTCCTTTTTATGCTGCTTGTTTATAATTCTGATTTTTTGGGGATTAAGATTTTGAATTGACAGGTGTGTCCAGATCCACCTGTTACACATGACTCATCTGTCAACATGTAACATAACATACATGTACTTCAAGGGGCCTGTACTTTGGGGCCTTTACAGTGAGTTGTGTAAATCCTACAGCAAAAAACACAGAGCTTGTGGGGCCCCAATGGCCTGGCGGTTATATTGCAAGCCAGAGGTACAGAGGCTGTTGACCTCATCCCAGTGGCCATGGGTTTGAATCCAACCTCGGCCCTTTGCTGCATATCATCCCCTACTCCTCCTCCTTACATGTACCTCATCCTCGCCACAACATGTCCTGTCTCTCTTCAGCTGTCCTATTGTTCCAATAAAAGACAAACAGGCCCCAAAAACAACTTAAAAAACAAACAAACTTGCAAGCCTCAAACACTCAGAAGTGACAGAACGAATACAGGACACCAAGATTTTGACTGACAGGTTTTTTAAAAATTAGATTATTCTATAATTTTGTAATCAAGATTAAAGCAGAAATTAAACACAAGGTAAAAAATAAAATGTTCTTAGCCTGCATGTTTATTCAAAGTTATTAGAATTCAATATTAAAGGAGTTAATGTAACTGAGGAGGGGGGAGGGGTAGTGAAGCCTAAATTGAAGATGTTTACAAGAATAGCCCACTTTATTGACAATGCATACCTTGTGTTTCTCTGCAGAGCAGGTCAAAGTCTTGAGACAGTCAAACCAAAAATATGTGAGCGGTAGAGCCAGTGAAAATTGTCCACTAATCCATCACATATCGTTTTTTTGTATTGATAAAAAGAACCAAAAATTCTCTCCAGTCTGATCGCATTCTTGAGAACCAGTTAGAAATGAGGTCTCAGTACCCTTGCTCCTTCACCTTTGACCACCAATCTCTAATCACTTTATCATTGAGTACATCTGTTACTGCTGTCTGGAGTCAAATCGGCAGAAGCTGCAATGCTTGAAATTCTTTCTCAACCTAACTTTCAGTCAGCCTAACGACAAGCTGAGAGCTGGAGCTGAGGCGGGTTTTTCAATCAGGTCAGCTAAGCGCCATATCGTGAATAACACTTACCCTTCATAAAATCTAAATGGATGCGTTATAAAAATAATTGATAAAGACATGAGCTAATCAGACCTATCAGGCTGTAAACATGATCATTTCTGCCTATTTGAATTGGGTGTGTATGTGACTTGCGGTGCTGATGCTGCCAGCCTCAAGCAGAAACTCGTCGAACTTCCACATTTCCGCATCTGCTTCATTTTTCAACAACAAGCTGCAGCTTGATTGAGAGATACAAAAATGTATTTTACGAGGGAGTTTGCCAGGACAGCGGCACAAGAAGTTCCACGCCAGACAGACCGTAACAGACAAAAGTGACGTCAATCAATAAATGAGTATCATTCAGCAATAAAAACTGTGCAAGGTCAAATGGTCCTTGATTCTGTTTTTGAAATCATCTAAGGCTAAACTAATACAACGCTCAAGTTTCAGGTGACTCTGTAGCTTCGACTGAGATGACGGAGTAAAAACATTGAAGTCTCTTGACCTCAGTGACCTTGTGCTGCCTTACAATACCAATGCATAGTGACGTGATTTAACCTGAAAAATAAAGCAAGGAAACGCAAAAGCATTCAGAGGGAATGCAAAATATTGTGAGGGAACGTAGAAGTAGCCCTCAACAAAGTTCTCACAGAAACCCCTTGGGATGTCTGCATAATGTTTACGACTGGAGCGAGATAATTCTGTCTTTGGCTTCCTCAGATATAATGTCAACAAGAATTGGGAGGACATGGGAATACATACAGCCCCCCATGAACATCTATGGCCGCGGCAGAAAGGCATATTCAAACATTTGCTCTGGAATCATCATGAGGGCAAAGTCAACTATTTTCCAGATTGCAACACAAAGTGCATTCTTGACATTAAACAATTATAATGACGTTGTAATTTACTAAGGCCTTAAGGAAAGTTTAAGACCTTCTTGTTCTGTCCTTGTAAAGAGACATTTTTGGGAAGAGTCAAGTGAGAGCAGCAGAGTTCGCCCTTTAACAAGATTTAATAAGTCTAAATCTGTTCGTCTGTGTTTGTCTGTTAGCACAGCAGCATGCAGGAAACACTGAAGTTGCAAAAGATCCTCTCCTGATTGCACCGTACTTCAGAAAACACACACCAATAAACAAGTTATACAACTACATTTTACTGCACAGCAAAGCTATGAACTCCTAATCACAGCTGCAACATGCTCGGTTGTTGGCTCATGCTGGGACTTGTATTTTAGGGATGAGTTGTTTGAGAGCGAGTTGGCTCTTTGGGTTCGGGTCTTTAAGACTACGATGGCAAACGGCTCCTGTTTGAGAGATGGTTTCCTTTTTTTTATTGTTTTAATACATGACAGAATAAAGGGACAATCTTTTATCCACATTGCTATGCCACATGCACACTAGTGCTTTGTGGTATAACATCACTGTTTTATAGCAAATGTCATCAAATAATGTTACTCTAGGAATTATACCGCTTAGTTTGATTGCAATGAATAATTTAAAGGACCAATATGTAAGATATTTGGTGAGTTTATTAATAAAATGACCTTACTATATCAACAGCTATGTTGAAGTGCTAGCTTCTGAGCAGCGATCTTGTTTGCTTCTTTTTACCTATCCATGTTTTTGCATCTCTCCAATGTTTTGAATGTGGACTGCAGTACCAATTTTAAACACTGGGTGTCAGGGATACATAATGCTTCTTTAAGTAATCCACATGAACACATAGGTCAAAATAGTTCTAAATTGGGCTGATTTAATAGAAGCCAAAACGGTACCATATGACAAGCCATAAGGGAGCCAAAGACCAGAATGATGTGTTTGGGTTTATGCACATTCCGCTCCGTCACTCTGACATCTCTCCCTTAGTGCATGTTCATAGGATCCTGTTTGTGTGCATGTCTATATATATATACTTCAGCCTATGTGTGTGTTCATGACTACAGAGTGTAAAAACTGAAATTTCCCCTTGCGGGTATCAATAAAGTAAATCTTCTTCTTCTTTTTCTCACATCTTTGTGTCTTGTATGAGTAACAGCTGTCAGGTTTTTCAAATTAAATACTTTAAACTGAAATGTAAAAGTTGTTATTTTTAACATATAGAAGGAGCTGTTCCATCTTAATGAATGAGCTGGGTCTTTAACTTTTTCTTAAAGGTGCAAAAGCGACTCTTTGGATCAAATGGAGTTTGGAAGTTTGGACCTTTTTTTTTGCGGAAAACGACAACTAATTAAGATATTAGTTCATCTTCGATTTTTAACAACAATATAATCATAAATTAACGTTGGAAGTGTTCAGAAATCATATTTTTTCCAGAGCTCTTTTATCACCTCGACTGCATCACCTTAAGCAAGTAAAAGGTACAATTGTGGGGATCAGTCAACACACATTTATTTCTACAAGTGGTTAAATACATACAAAAGACAATCCATAATGACAAAATTAAAGGAGCAATATGTAACACCTAGTGTTTTAAATTAGTACTGCAGTGCAAATTCAAAACATTGAAGAGAGCTGCCTTATACCGCCTACCTTTTCTAGTTAAAACAAATACAGACCATTCAGGACCAGAATCTAAACTTAGAAGCTGCTGCATTGTTGTCAGAGAAGTCAACACTTCAACATAGCATGTTTCCTTAATGTCTGATTATACATTAAGGTCATTTTATTTCATTCAGATATTTTACATATCGGTCATGTAAAATTCCATGCAACTATTATGCACATACTTGTAGTACTTCTTAAACTTTGTATCTACTGAGAAAGGCCAAAGATTTTGAGACTTGTATTATCACTGCTTGACACTCAGGAGCTCTCTGAACTGATATCAATAGAAAGGCAGCCTACTGTACAAAATTACATTTGAATCACAGTCTTGATAAGAATAGTGAAATATTCTGAAATGGGAATTAAAAGTCCTCAAATGCAGAAACATTCTGTTAAATGTAAATAACCACCAACACTCTGATTGCCCACTCATGCTTTGAGCTATTACATCAGCATACACAAATGTACAATGTACAGTGGCCTTCTGTACACAGAACACCCACACACACACACACACGCACGCACGCACGCACGCACACACACACACACACACACACACACACACACACACACACACACACACACACACACACACACACACACACACACACACACAAGCAGAGGCAGAGTGGAATTTGAGAAATGTAAGTCACACATTTTAGTAAACATCCAAACATCTGTTACCGCCCACACCTCATGTCAACTCCCACTTTATTAAATCATTTAAACGTCATTAGAAACCCTTTAAATCTGAAGTTCATCAAATAATTACAGATAACATTTACTCCGTCTGCTTTTCAATACATAAAACAGCAGGTGTAGACCTCCGTCGATGTTTGAGCCTCACATGTCCGATAAATTGATCTCATACAAAAGATTTCTCTTGTTGCTTCACCTCTCCTGCTGCTGCTGTATGTGGGTTGTCCTTCACTGCTCCTCTTCCCACAGGCAGAGTTTTTCCAACCGGTGGAGAGGAGCCCACATGCAGCAGAGCGCCCCCCACCAGGAGCAGCACACAGGCCCCCCAGCCCAGGTACAGCGCCGGCCCAAGCTCTCTCTTTAAAGGCGCTGCAACATTTGGATCATAGAAGTCCCTGATGATTGTGTAGGCAGTCCAACAGATCGGTACCAAGTGGGCCAGGCCTGCCACGAGGAAGAGCACCCCTGATAACCTCGCCAGCCGAGCCTTGGAGGCCTGGTTACCGTCACCCATGCAATGTGTACACTTGGCCCCCGCCACCCCGAGCAGGAGGGCCAGGAGGCAGAGGAGCAGTGAGAGAACAGTGACGCAGCGAGCCACCTGCAGAGACATGGGCAGGGCCAGAGTGGAGTCGTAGGTCTTGCACTGGATCTGGCCCGTGGTTTGAGAAAGGCAGTTCATCCACAGTCCCTCCCACAGCACCTGGGCGATCACCAGCTCCCCTCCAACGAAGGCTGACACACGCCACAGAGGGGCCGCGCACACCAACACCCCAAACCCCCAACCCAGCATGGCCAACACCAAGCCCAGCAGCTGGAGACCCGTGGACGCCATGATGTCTGAAGTAAAAAGTGCTCTCAGCTTCAGAAAAGTGTCTCTTTAAAGAGTCTTTTATCAAAGAGGTCAATAACTGAGTATTCAGTCAAGCCTCTAAACAATTTCTCTGTACAGCCTCCAGTGAATGTAAATGTTTAAACGTGTTGAAAAGTTTCCTCTTTTCTTCTGTTTCCTCTTCTCAGGTTACCTTCTTGTTTGTCAGCCAGGTATGTACTGTTGAGATAAAAGAGTTTTTTTTAGCAATGCCTCTGCAAATACATCAGTAAAGGATCAACCTGAGACCAGCAGCTTTCATGATTAAAGAACAGTATTTAACTTATTTTATTTAATAGGGTAAATACAAATAAATTCTGTATACACATTACACTACAGATATTTTAATACAATAAAATACTAGAATACTGAAAAGTATTTTTAAAGTAAATTCATGGCTGTGAGATATACAAGTGTGGTAAAATAATACAGTTTAATCTTATCAAACTTACTTTTCAATCCATAGTCAAAGAGCCAGATGTCCACAGCTGGCTTGTTGAGGGTCCTCTGTGTGTATGTCTTGCTGGTTGCAGTCGACTGGTATGAGTAGTTTGTCTTTCTTCTGTTATGACTGACCAGCTTGTCTCTCTGGATCTCACACACAGGGGTGTAGGAGGGCAGCAGTGTGTGCTGCTGCATGCAAAATACACACACACACACACACACACACACGCTGGTTATGGAAAAAAACATTAAAACACAAGGACACTTTGTTTACACCAGTGTTCACTGCTATCATGTTTTTGTTTTGTAGTTGGGGTTGCAGTGCAGTTCCCAGGTGGAGGCACTAGGTGGAGGTAAAGGAGCAGAAGAGGAAAGCTGATTGGAGCTTGACATGTGTAACAGCTGGATTTCTGCATTGTGTTGTGGTAAGGATGAATTATGCTGTGACACTGGGATTGTGTTCATAGTCGACCACTGATCAAAAGGGGAGAGCAGCAGAGGCTAAAGGTATATAGAACCAACCACCAAAGAAGAAAAACTGAGAAAAGTGTGAATGTGAACTATAATAAAAGTACCTGTGGAGTTTTGAGGTTTTGTGTTATCGTAACAAAGAGATGGTGCATATTCTACACAAGTGAAACAAACCCTCTGTCACATTAAAGACAAAACCCACCAAAAGAAGACCAAATGGACTCTCAGATTGTAACTGGTGAAATCGATGTATTGACTTTACTGGCTATAGTGTCTGCTTGAGTTGTATGAATTTGACAGCATGCACATGGGTAAATTGATGTTGCTTTGTAGATCCAGCAGGGGGCATTAGACTACCACCTCCTCAGAACTGGCCTCAACATCCTTCTTGCTTCAGGCGCCCATGTGCAGAGTGCTCATGATATATTATAAATTACAGGAAGAGGCGTGTGGGTGATGAACTGAATATCAGATGTCAGACAGTACTGAGGCGGGCAGCGTTTGCTAAAATACACTTGGCATTGAGCTTGTTTCTGTAATGCTGACTGAAGGGCCACACTTGTTGACATCTTTGTTTACCATCCTTTCTACCAATGGGGCACACCCTGCCCTGCAGCTTGTCACCAATGACGTGAAATTATTTCATTTCTTATTGAGGTACTATTTTCCTTGTTGATTACTTCCTCTGCAAGTTTAAGTATGATTCCATATTCTGTTGAAATAGATTCCTATTGGTTTTAAATGTGTAACAATTACCCCATGTGAATACTCTGTAAGTACATTATTGTTTGTTGTGTTTTTAGTTCATTATTCTCAATGATTTCATTGATTTTTACTGACTTATTTGTTGCATTTTCTCATGTATACTCTGTGTAACAGGGAAGTAACCAGGTAGATGTTTATTGTGTGATGCAAAATGTAACCTTGAGCCTTAACTATGAGGGAAATATAAGACATCAGGAGTCATTTTTCTATCTAGGATGAGTTTGCCCTCTAATGAAGGTGAGTGTCTTTCCTTGAGTGCATGCTTCTTTAAAGTACTCCCTCTGTGACCTCATCTGACCTATAACCAGTACTGACTGGTGCATTGTTCTCCAGGCTGGGAACAATTTCTCACAAATGGAGCAGGCAATAAAAGAACGTTTTACCTTGACATCATTAAAGGGGTCATATCAATGGGAGAGTAAGTCACTGATATATAATTTACTATATCAGTGGCTTTTGTCTCCAAAACGGCAATGAGGTATGATGAGGAGTTTAGTATTTGTTTCCAACAAGTTAAGTTTCAGTTTCCTGGGAAATACTGAGAGAGAGAGAGAGAGAAAAGGGGAAGGCAGAGAGAGGGAGGAGAGTAATGAGACAATAAAGAGCTGATCTGAAAGATAAGGTTTAGACACACACTGACAGATTTTGTGGATCAAGGTCAGGTAGTTCTCTTTATACAACAGAATGGCTTTACGCTCGACTAAAGGTGAGTGTCTTTATTTATATGCAGGTGTATGTGATCACTTTTCATGCCTTTTCTGTGAAATGGATTACATCTCTATTATTCATATAGTTTCACTGCTGTTTCTTCTCAGTATGCGGCTCTCCAGATATTCAAGAAGACCTCAGGATTGTTCTGCTGGGGAAGACTGGCTCAGGAAAGAGTTCAACTGGGAACACCATCCTGGGAAATGAGGTCTTTAAGGCAAAATGTTCAGCATCTTCTGTGACAAGGACTTGTAGAGAAGTAGTCTTACAGTACAAAGACAGAAGAGTGAGGCTCATTGACACGCCTGGGATCTTTGACACGTCGATAGCAGAAGTCAAGTTGAAAGAAGAAATCGAGACATGTATCCTCCTCTCTGTCCCAGGACCCCATGTGTTCCTGCTTGTGATCAGACTGGATGTTCGGTTTACACAAGAAGAGAAGAACGTGGTTAAATGGATCAAGGACAACTTTGGTGCAGAAGCCTCTAAGTACACACTTGTACTTTTCACCAGGGGAGACGAGCTCGGGCAGAAGTCCATTGAGACTTTTTTGGAAGACAGCTCTGATCTCAAGGAGCTCATCAGAACGTGTAACGCCAGGTACATTGTGTTTGACAACAAGAGCATGAACAATCGCACTCAGGTGAATGATCTGTTTGAGAAGATAGATGAGATAGTGCAGTTAAATGGTGGGCATTACACCAGCAGCATTTATGCAGAGGCCCAGAGAAAGATCAAGTCAGCTGAGTGGTGGAACACCTGTGTACAGTATGTGCCCCTGTTAAGTGCAGGAGCTGCTGCTGCTGCTGCTGCTGCTGGAGCTGCTGCTGTTGCTATTGGAACTGGAGCTTCTGCTGCTGCTATTGGAGCTGGAGCTGCTGCTGCTGCTGCTGGAGCTGCTGCTGTTGCTATTGGAGCTGGAGCTACTGCTGCTGCTGATGGAGCTGGAGCTGCTGCTGCTGCTGTTGGAGTTGGTGCTGCTGCTGCTGCTGGTATTGGAGCTGCTGCTGCTGCTATTGGAGCTGGAGCTGCTGCTGCTGTTGGAGCTGCTGCTGCTGCTGCTGCTGCTGCTGCTGCTGCTGGAGCTGCTGCTGCTATTGGAGCTGCTGCTGGACCTAGAGCTGCAGGCTAAGTCGCTGCTTTGTCCTACTCTGAGAAACACTTTTCATCCTGGGTACAATTTCTTGTTGATTGTTTAAAAAAATTGTTTTTTGGCTTGGTTTTCTTGGATTGTTGGCTTTTTAAGGGCGGCTGTAGTTGGTGGAACACCTGTGTAAAGTATGCAACCCTGATAGGTGCAGGCTTGATTGGAGCTGCAGTAGTCGTTGCTCTCCCACCTGGGCCAACTTTAATGGCTGCTGCGTCAGGGATTATTAAAAATATTTTTTAGGTTTCCAAGAGTTTAAAGATAGTTTAGTCATGCTATAACTTTCAGGAAATGTGTGAGGTAGTACTTTTATTTCCTTTCCCTTATTTCATGTATGCGCTTTGTGTATGAGTCCCAGCATGTCTGCTTTGAACAATGAATTAACCTACTTTGAGAAACACTTTCATCCTGAATATAATTTTATTCTTTATTCATTATTATGAGTTTTATTTCTGATTATGATCTTATTCATTCTGTTTAATTTGTAAAAATGAAATAACCTGTACTAGAGTCTGCATTACAAGACTTCATTAGGAGTAACAAAAGTATAAGGATGCTGAAAGTTTGTCTTTTTTTAAAGGTCAGAAAACTCTTTTTGATCATATAGGTATCACATGCTGTATATACATTGATTAACAGTTTAGTCATGTAAACTCGTTTGTTTCTTTACTTATTAAGAAAATAAAGTTGTTCCCAATAAAAAAGTTTAGTTTCGCGTGTTCTCGTGTCATGTTTCTGCAGGAAAAGTAAAATATGAATCTAGCTTTAGGCAGCTTGTTAGCTTGTTGGAGCTTAGAATAAAGAGAGAGATAATGAAGTCACTTCCATCCAGTGTAAGAAGACTTAAAGTTACAAGACTTTAAGATATGATAGAGATATATCAAGATGAAACATACAAATAAATACACCTTGTGTAAATCATTAAAAGATAAAAAGGCATTCATTTTATAGATGCCACCATAATAATCACCTCTGTCCTCCTTTTTACCTCAAACTGAAAAATGTATCAAAATTATAACAGAATTGTCTTTTCAGACACATTGATTCATTAGCTGTTGTTTTATCTGGTTGAATAACAGATGAAAGGAGTCGTTGGACAGTCGAATCTGATTTCACTGTTTTCAACCATAGATCAACATTGAAATCGTGGTTGAAGCTCACTGGGTTCAGACGCCATAAAACAGACATGAAGAAGCATGTAGAATGAGGAGGGAAACATTGAGGGTGTCTTTTTTAAAAGATACGCTACGCTACCGGCTACACTACCGGCACCCCAACACTGAGGTTTTGAGCCAAGTAGAGTTTCTAGATTGGATTCAAATTATAATTAAAATAAAATAAAGGAATGTTTGTTTATTGCTTACTTTTTCTTACCCCATCATTAGTTGTCGTTTTAGACATTTTGCTCTTTTTAACTTTATTCAATTTATTTGTCTGCAACATGGAGGGATAATAATATCACTTCACTGCACAGCACTGTGTTCATCATGACAATGAAAGAATGTTTTACCTTGACATCATAAGAGGGTCAACTGATACCGTTTTCTTTATCAGTGGCTTTTGTCTACAAAACGGCCACGATGATGAGGAGTTTAGTTTTTGTCTCCAACAAGTTAAGTTTCACTTTTCTGGAAACACTGAGAGAGAGTGAGGCAGAGAGAGAGAGAAAGAGAGAGAAAAGGGGAAGTCAGAGAGAGGGGGAGGAGAGTAATGAGACAATAAAGAGAAGGTTTAGACACACACTGACAGATTTTGAGGATCAAGGTCCGGTAGTTCTCTCTGTACAACAGAATGGCTTTACGCTCGACTAAAGGTGAGTGTCTTTATTTATATGAAGGTTTATGTGATCACTTTTCATGCCCTTTTATATGAGATGGATTGCATCTCTATTATTCAAATGAATAGTTTCACTGCTGTTTCTTCTCAGTATGCGGCTCTCCAGATATTCAAGAAGACCTCAGGATTGTTCTGCTGGGAAAGACTGGCTCAGGAAAGAGTTCAACTGGGAACACCATCCTGGGAAATGAGGTCTTTAAGGCAGAATTCTCAGCATCTTCTGTGACAAAGACTTGTCAAAAAGTATTCTTCCACTACAAAGACAGAGGAGTGAGCCTCATTGACACCCCTGGGATCTTTGACACGTCGATAACAGAAGTCGAGTTGAAAGAAATCGAGGAATGTATCCTCCTCTCTGTCCCAGGACCCCATGTGTTCCTGCTTGTGATCAGACTGGATGTTCGGTTTACAGAAAATGAGAAGAACGTGGTTAAATGGATCAAGGACAACTTTGGTGCAGAAGCCTCTAAGTACACACTTGTACTTTTCACCAGGGAAGACCAGCTCGGGCAGAAGTCCATTGAGACTTTTTTGGAGGAAAGCTCTGATCTCAAGGAGCTCATCAGAACGTGTAACAGCAGGTACATTGTGTTTGACAACAAGAGCATGAACAATCGCACTCAGGTGAATGATCTGTTTGAGAAGATAGATGAGATAGTGCAGTTAAATGGTGGGCATTACACCAGCAGCATTTATGAAGAGGCCCAGAGAAAGATCAAGTCAGATAAGAGGTGGAACAATTTTTTGATCCATCAGATGTCGCCCTTGAGCACCAGCATGAAGCCATAACAACTTGCACTGCATTGTTGTGTTAGCATGCTAATGCTTGCGATGTTTATGCTGGTATCTTCACACTGCATGTAAATTTACCCAAAATGAGCGTGATCTAGAAACGCTTACGTGACATTCAATTAAGCAGTGAGTACAGACGATGTTAAGAAAGTGAAGCTACGGCTCGGAAAACTCAGAAAGCATCACAGACAGTGGGAGTCGGGTGTCAAACTCATTGCAGACAGTCATGACTCAGTTATTTTCAGAGGATATACTTGATTTCTGCTACATTTAAGTGTGAAAAATCACATATTCTTCCTCTTCAAGCTCAGAAGATATCTTGAAAATGTTTATGTCAGCCTGCCCTGAACTTTTCTACACTTTTTAATCACACATGTCTCTCTCAGCAGGAACTTTTCTCTGTATAAGGTTAAACGTTTTAGGAACATCATGGTTGTATATAGTCATAATGTTCAGCTGTCTTACTGTGTTCAATGTGTGTGTACTTGTGTAACTGGTTGTAACTGTAAAAATGACTTAATGATGGCTTAAGAATGGGAACAAGCTGTTTATAGCTTGTGACCACACATGTTTCAGCATACTTGGTAACTAAAGAGACAATCAAAGATCTCATAGAGTGTAAATACTGGCTGTACTGGAACACAATCCATCTTAACATTATTAAATACAAGAATATCTGCAAGTAAAATACTTCTCATAAAGTCTCCTCCTATCTCTGACTCATACTCTCATACCCAGCTGTTTTATAACACGTTGTTTGTCATCAGGCCGACAGACTTGTGGATATATTTATTCAAAGTGCAGTCAACTTGAACATTGAAGTGCTTTAATAGTGTTCACTGTCGCTTCATTTCAAATTGAGTTGACACTTTGAGAATAAGGTATGAATTTCATTAAAGGTGTTTAAATTCTTTACTCATGGAAATGAAAATACACAATATGACTTGTACAAAGATTGAACGTTTGAAACTGTCAATTTAATATTCTGTTTCCTTTTTTAACACTAGTGTTTATCATTTAATTCAAAGATAAAGGAAAAACTTGTGATTCAGGGCGTTTCCGGCAAGATTTTGTTTGTACAATCTGGGCGCTAAATGAGGCATAATTGGACCATTGAATAAGTGGCTTGATTATACATAGGTATGTTTTGGGAGGAAAATGACTCAAACCAGTCAGAGTGATAGCTCTCATTCCTTTTCGGAGCTCGGTGTGCCTGCAGGCTTGCACGTTGATATTTACACAGCAGACTTCAGTCTTTCTTCTTAGATATGCAGAGCTTTGGTTCATATAACTTCTCTCCTTTCATTGAGCCCCTGAACACACAGAACACACAAAGCACATGGTATGAAATATGTCGATGGCTGACTTAAGTTATAGTTTGCCCAAGCATCAAAAAGAAGGAGAGACCTTTTCCACATGAGGCCCAATAGTTTATCAATTCAATATTAAAATCTCCAGACAGGCCGACATGGTGGACAAGATCTATGTTAACAAATAATCTGTGGGCTCACCATCAAATAAAGGCAGGCTGTAAACATGTACGGTATGAACTCTTTATATTAACATAACTTATTGCACTGGTTTTCTGCATCCTCAAGATGGGAACATGCCACAATTGCACGTGTCGTAACCACACCTCATTTTATGACAAACACACTCCTGGACGCCAGCGGGCACGAGTTAATTTGCTATTTAATCAACGTGAGTGCTGGGTGTAAAATTGAAAACTGTGTCAGGTGGAAAAATAGAAGGGAAGCTCTGCAAATCATTTGCTTATTATACAAGTGTGGTAAAATAATACAGTTTAATCTTGTCAAACTTACTTTTCAATCCATAGTCAAAGAGCCAGATGTCCACAGCTGGCTTGTTGAGGGTCCTCTGTGTGTATGTCTTGCTGGTTGCAGTCGACTGGTATGAGTAGTTTGTCTTTCTTCTGTTATGACTGACCAGCTTGTCTCTCTGGATCTCACACACAGGGGTGTAGGAGGGCAGCAGTGTGTGCTGCTGCATGCAAAATACACACACACACACACACACACGCTGGTTATGGAAAAAAACATTAAAACACAAGGACACTTTGTTTACACCAGTGTTCACTGCTATCATGTTTTTGTTTTGTAGTTGGGGTTGCAGTGCAGTTCCCAGGTGGAGGCACTAGGTGGAGGTAAAGGAGCAGAAGAGGAAAGCTGATTGGAGCTTGACATGTGTAACAGCTGGATTTCTGCATTGTGTTGTGGTAAGGATGAATAATGCTGTGACACTGGGATTGTGTTTATAGTCGACCACTGATCAAAAGGGGAGAGCAGCAGAGGCTAAATGAATATAGAACCAACCACCAAAGAAGAAAAACTGAGAAAAGTGTGAATGTGAACTATAATAAAAGTACCTGTGGAGTTTTGAGGTTTTGTGTTATCGTAACAAAGAGATGGTGCATATTCTACACAAGTGAAACAAACCCTCTGTCACATTAAAGACAAAACCCACCAAAAGAAGACCAAATGGACTCTCAGATTGTAACTGGTGAAATCAATGTATTGACTTTACTGGCTATAGTGTCTGCTTGAGTTGTATGAATTTGACAGCATGCACATGGGTAAATTGATGTTGCTTTGTAGATCCAGCAGGGGGCATTAGACTACCACCTCCTCAGAACTGGCCTCAACATCCTTCTTGCTTCAGGCGCCCATGTGCAGAGTGCTCATGATATATTATAAATTACAGGAAGAGGCGTGTGGGTGATGAACTGAATATCAGATGTCAGACAGTACTGAGGCGGGCAGCGTTTGCTAAAATACACTTGGCATTGAGCTTGTTTCTGTAATGCTGACTGAAGGGCCACACTTGTTGACATCTTTGTTTACCATCCTTTCTACCAATGGGGCACACCCTGCCCTGCAGCTTGTCACCAATGACGTGAAATCATTTCATTTCTTATTGAGGTACTATTTTCCTTGTTGATAACTTCCTCTGCAAGTTTAAGTATGATTCCATATTCTGTTGAAAGAGATTCCTATTGGTTTTAAATGTGTAACAATTACCCCATGTGAATACTCTGTAAGTACATTATTGTTTGTTGTGTTTTTAGTTCATTATTCTCAATGATTTCATTGATTTTTACTGACTTATTTGTTGCATTTTCTCATGTATACTCTGTGTAACAGGGAAGTAACCAGGCAGATGTTTATTGTGTGATGCACAATGTAACCTTGAGCCTTAACTATGAGGGAAATATAAGACATCAGGAGTCATTTTTCTATCTAGGATGAGTTTGCCCTCTAATGAAGGTGAGTGTCTTTCCTTGAGTGCATGCTTCTTTAAAGTACTCCCTCTGTGACCTCATCTGACCTATAACCAGTACCGACTGGTGCATTGTTCTCCAGGCTGGGAACAATTTCTCACAAATGGAGCGGGCAATAAAAGAACGTTTTACCTTGACATCATTAAAGGGGTCATATCAATGGGAGAGTAAGTCACTGATATATAATTTACTATATCAGTGACTTTTGTCTCTAAAACGGCAATGAGGTATGATGAGTTTAGTATTTGTTTCCAACAAGTTAAGTTTCAGTTTCCTGGAAAACTTTGAGAGACAGAGACAGAGAGAGAGAGAGACAGAGAGAGAGAGAGAGAGAGAGAGAAAAGGGGAACGCAGAGAGAGGGAGGAGAGTAATGAGACAATAAAGAGCTGATCTGAAAGATAAGGTTTAGACACACACTGACAGATTTTGTGGATCAAGGTCAGGTAGTTCTCTTTATACAGCAGAATGGCTTCAAGCTCGGCTAAAGGTGAGTGTCTTTATTTATATGCAGGTGTATGTGATCACTTTTCATGCCTCTTCTGTGAGATGGATTACATCTCTATTATTCATATAGTTTCACTGCTGTTTCTTCTCAGTATGCGGCTCTCCAGATATTCAAGAAGACCTCAGGATTGTTCTGCTGGGGAAGACTGGCTCAGGAAAGAGTTCAACTGGGAACACCATCCTGGGAAATGAGGTCTTTAACACAGACGTATCACCATCTTCTGTGACAAAGACTTGTAAAAAAGTATTCTTCTACTACAAAGACAGAAGAATGAGCGTCATTGACACGCCTGGGATCTTTGACACGTCGATAGCAGAAGTCGAGTTGAAAGAAGAAATCGAGAAATGTATCCTCCTCTCTGTCCCAGGACCCCATGTGTTCCTGCTTGTGATCAGACTGGATGTTCGGTTTACACAAGAGGAGAAGAACACCGTTAAATGGATCAAGGACAACTTTGGTGCAGAAGCCTCTAAGTACACACTTGTACTTTTCACCAGGGAAGACGAGCTTGGGCAGAAGTCCATTGAGACTTTTTTGGAGGAAAGCTCTGATCTCAGGGACCTCATCAGAATGTGTAACGCCAGGTACATTGTGTTTGACAACAAGAGCATGAACAATCGCACTCAGGTGAATGATCTGTTTGAGAAGATAGACGAGATAGTGCAGTTAAATGGTGGGCATTACACCAGCAGCATTTATGAAGAGGCCCAGAGAAAGATCAAGTCAGATGAGTGGTGGAACACCTGTGTACAGTATGTGCCCCTGTTAGGTGCAGGCTTGATTGGAGCTGCAGTAGTCATTGCTCTCCCACCTGGGCCAACTTTAATGGCTGCTGCGTCAGGGATTATTAAAAATATTTTTTAGGTTTCCAAGAGTTTAAAGATAGTTTTGTCATGTTATAACTTTCAGGAAATTTGTGAGGTAGTACTTTTATTTCCTTCCCCTTATTTCATGTATGCGCTTTGTGTATGAGTCCCAGCATGTCTGCTTTGAACAATGAATTACCTACTCTGAGAAACACTTTCATCCTGAATATCATTTTATTCTTTATTCATTATTATGAGTTTTATTTCTGATTATGATCTTATTCATTCTGTTTAATTTGTAAAAATGAAATAACCTGTACTAGAGTCTGCATTACAAGACTTCATTAGGAGTAACAAAAGTATAAGGATGCTGAAAGTTTGTCTTTTTTTAAAGGTCAGAAAACTCTTTTTGATCATATAAGTATCACATGCTGTACATACATTGATTAACAGTTTAGTCATGTAAACTCGTTTGTTTCTTTACTTATTAAGAAAATAAAGTTGTTCCCAATAAAAAAGTTTAGTTTCGCGTGTTCTCGTGTCATGTTTCTGCAGGAAAAGTAAAATATGAATCTAGCTTTAGGCAGCTTGTTAGCTTGTTGGAGCTTAGAATAAAGAGAGAGATAATCAAGTCACTTCCATCCAGTGTAAGAAGACTTAAAGTTACAAGACTTTAAGATATGATAGAGATATATCAAGATGAAACATACAAATAAATACACCTTGTGTAAATCATTAAAAGATAAAAAGGCATTCATTTTATAGATGCCACCATAATAATCACCTCTGTCCTCCTTTTTACCTCAAACTGAAAAATGTATCAAAATTATAACAGAATTGTCTTTTCAGACACATTGATTCATTAGCTGTTGCTTTATCTGGTTGAATAACAGATGAAAGGAGTCGTTGGACAGTCGAATCTGATTTCACTGTTTTCAACCATAGATCAACATTGAAATCGTGGTTGAAGCTCACTGGGTTCAGACGCCATAAAACAGACATGAAGAAGCATGTAGAATGAGGAGGGAAACATTGAGGGTGTCTTTTTTAAAAGATACGCTACGCTACCGGCTACACTACCGGCACCCCAACACTGAGGTTTTGAGCCAAGTAGAGTTTCTAGATTGGATTCAAATTATAATTAAAATAAAATAAAGGAATGTTTGTTTATTGCTTACTTTTTCTTACCCCATCATTAGTTGTCGTTTTAGACATTTTGCTCTTTTTAACTTTATTCAATTTATTTGTCTGCAACATGGAGGGATAATAATATCACTTCACTGCACAGCACTGTGTTCATCATGACAATGAAAGAATGTTTTACCTTGACATCATAAGAGGGTCAACTGATACCGTTTTCTTTATCAGTGGCTTTTGTCTACAAAACGGCCACGATGATGAGGAGTTTAGTTTTTGTCTCCAACAAGTTAAGTTTCACTTTTCTGGAAACACTGAGAGAGAGTGAGGCAGAGAGAGAGAGAGACAGAGAGAAAAGGGGAAGGCAGAGAGAGGGGGAGGAGAGTAATGAGACAATAAAGAGAAGGTTTAGACACACACTGACAGATTTTGAGGATCAAGGTCCGGTAGTTCTCTCTGTACAACAGAATGGCTTCAAGCTCGACTAAAGGTGAGTGTCTTTATTTATATGAAGGTTTATGTGATCACTTTTCATGCCCTTTTATATGAGATGGATTACATCTCTATTATTCATATAGTTTCACTGCTGTTTCTTCTCAGTATGCGGCTCTCCAGATATTCAAGAAGACCTCAGGATTGTTCTGCTGGGGAAGACTGGCTCAGGAAAGAGTTCAACTGGGAACACCATCCTGGGAAGGGAGGTCTTTAAGGCAGAATGTTCAGCATCTTCTGTGACAAAGACTTGTAGAAAAGTATTCTTCCACTACAAAGACAGAAGAGTGAGGCTCATTGACACGCCTGGGATCTTTGACACGTCGATAGCAGAAGTCCAGTTGAAAGAAGAAATCGAGAAATGTATCCTCCTCTCTGTCCCAGGACCCCATGTGTTCCTGCTTGTGATCAGACTGGATGTTCGGTTTACAGAAAATGAGAAGAACGCGGTTAAATGGATCAAGGACAACTTTGGTGCAGAAGCCTCTAAGTACACACTTGTACTTTTCACCAGGGGAGACCAGCTCGGGCAGAAGTCCATTGAGACTTTTTTGGAGGAAAGCGCTGATCTCAAGGAGCTCATCAGAACGTGTAACGCCAGGTACATTGTGTTTGACAACAAGAGCATGAACAATCGCACTCAGGTGAATGATCTGTTTGAGAAGATAGATGAGATAGTGCAGTTAAATGGTGGGCATTACACCAGCAGCATTTATGAAGAGGCCCAGAGAAAGATCAAGTCAGCTGAGAGGTGGAACACCTGTGTAAAGTATGCGCCTCTGATAGGTGCAGGTGTGTTTGGAGCTGCTGCTGGTGCTGGAGCTGCTGCTGCTGCTGGAGCTGCAGCTGCAGGGGAAGTCGCTGCTTCGTCCTTTGGGACAACTTTAGTGGCTGCTGCTTCAGGGATTTTTCAAACTCTTTGGAGGATTCCAAGACTTTAAAGATGTATCATTAACCTACTCTGAGACACACTTTTCATCCTGGATATAATTTTTTGTTGATTGTTTTTATTGATTATTGAATGTTCTTTTTATTTTCACTGATTATTATCAGTTTTATTTCTGATTATGATTTTATTAATTCTGTTTGAGTTGTAAAAATCAAATAACCTGTATCTGATTCTACATTATAAGAGTTCATTAAGAGTGACAGAAGTATAAGGATGCTGAAGGTTTGACTTTTTTAAAGGTCAGAAAACTCCTTTTGAGAGAGATAATCAAGTCACTTGCATCCAGTGTAAGAAGACTGTTGAGCTGTGAGGTGCGTGTCCAGATGAGTGGCCAGGGGTGTCATGGGCCCCTCCTGAAATCTTATTTGCCATCCCAGATGCCACCCAATCATCCAATCTATGATCAGCTATTTGTCTACTCAGAGGTGGAAAAACTCATGCACACTGTCTAAGTTGAAATGGACTTCATTGCCAATGAATGTATTTCTGCAGGCTAGCATACACGAATGTTAGTATGTATTTTCATGAATTCATTCATCTTGATAATTTTGTGGATATGTCTTTGAATTTTGTGAACCATCTAAGAGTAATTCTTCTTTTAGGTTTGTGAAGCTGTAATACATATGTGTAAGAGACCTCATAGCAGCAGTTATATTTGGATTGGAGCCAAGTGTATGTTGTGAACTAGACAGGAAACAACTGTTTGCTAAGTGTGTGTCTGTTACGTATACAAATCATGGTCATGTCATCTTTATTGCTTTATAGTGATCTACCCAAATGGAAAGGAATATGTGGGCTGTACCTTTTAGCAGAATATAAGCCACACTGTGATGAAGACTTTGCCAGCCATTGTGAGATCTTGGTCAGCATGGGTCAGCGATGGTCTTTGTCAGCCATGTTTGTTCTGTTTTTGTGTTGCCTGACCATGGCTGAGTAAATCCTAACATAATCCACAGTTTTTTTCACGATTTCATCATTGTCCATTTTATACAGAAACAAACCCCCAGCTAACAACGAGTTAACATGCATTTTTGCATGCAAGTACTTAAAATCATGACTTTGCACACATTGATATTTGTTTTTGATTCCTTAAAGAATCAAGAAGATGTAGGCTACATGTTACAGATTGTGTTTCTAACATATTATTAGAAGGGATAGAAAGGGTAAAAAAAGAATGGGTGTGCCAACAAACGCCACCCCTGAATCAGTCAGTGCCCGTGGTGGATCACCTAAGTTTAAAAAGTCTGGACATGCCCCTGTTTCAAATATGCACTCCAGGACATTTTAGGTCAGCCTGCCATCCAACTTTTCAACAGTTTTTAATCACGTGTGGTACATGTGGTTGTAACTGCAGAAATGACTTAATGATGGCTAAAGAATGGAAACAAGCTGTTCATAGGTGGTAACCACACGTTTCAGCATACTTGGTAAGTAAAGAGACAATCAAAGAGAAAGCTGCAGAAAAGAGAAAACAGAAGTACAGCCTCATCAAGAAAACACATCTCAAAGAGAGTGGAAATACTGGCTGTACTGGAACACAATCCATCTATTCATTCTCATTAAATACAAGAATGTCTGCCAGTGAAATACTTCTCATAAAGTCTCCTCCTGACTCATACTCTCATACCCAGCTGTTTTACATTAGTTGTTTGTCACCAGGCCGACAGACTTGTAGATATATTTATTCAAAGTGCAGTCAACTTGAACATTGAAGCGCATTAAAATCATTCACTGTCACTTTCAACTTGAGTTGACACTTTGAGTACAAGGTGTGAATTTCATTAAATGTTTTACTAATGGAAATGAAAATACACAATATGACTTATACAAATCAGGTATTTGCACTTTGTGTATTTTATGTATTGTCTGTGTTTTATTAAGTGACTCTCCCTGCAACCACATTTATCTACGGGTACAAATAAAGTAAACTGAAAAAATAAAACGCAACCCACCACTGAGAATATTTGTGCGCAACTTCAGAGAAAAACAAGTCCAAAGTCACTTATGATAAGGGGACTTTGCAACACTGACCACAAGGTCTGCCAGTGAAGTACTTCTAATAAATTCCCCTCCTATCTCTGACTCATACTCTCATACCCAGCTGTTTTATAACACGTTGTTTGTCATCAGACCGACAGACTTGTGGATATATTTATTCAAAGTGCGGTCAACTTGAACATTGAAGTGCTTTAATAGTGTTCACTGTCGCTTCATTTCAAATTGAGTTGACACTTTGAGAATAAGGTGTGAATTTCATTAAAGGTGTTTAAATTCTTTACTCATGGAAATGAAAATACACAATATGACTTGTACAAAGATTGAAAGTTTGAGTTTAATTTAAGGACAAAGAACAAGGACACAAGATCAACTGAGAACCTGACTCACTCATCATTTGAATCGAGTTTGGCTGACTGTCGAACCTGCAAACTCACACACGTAGGGAGGACAGTTACAAACATGAATCAAACCAATCAGTGTCAGCTCTCATTCCTTTTCAGAGCTTGGTGCGCCTGCAGGCTTGCACGTTGATATTTACAAGGCAGACTTCAGTTATAGTTATAGTTTGCCCAAGCATCAAAAAGCAGGAGAGAACTTGTCCACATGAGGCCCAATAGTTTATCTATTCAATATTAAAATCTCCAGACAGGCCGACATGGTGGACAAGATCTATGTTAACAAATGTTCTGTGGACTTACCACCAAATAAAGGTAAGCTGTAAATATATATTAACTCTTTATATTTACTTCACTTATTGCACTGATTGTCTGCGTCCTCAAGATGGGAACATGCCACATTTGCATGTGTCTTCACCACACCTCATTTTATTGAAAAACACACTCCTTGGCACCAGTGGGCACAAGTTCATTTATTTAAACAACATGAGAGCTGCAGCTTCAGGTGGAAAAGAGGAAAATAGAAATCTGCACCGAGTGCCAAGACTGGGAGTACGATAGGGCCCTTAATCTTCAGGACATGCAAAATGATTACATAAAGATTCCTAAACATCTGTTGTGTCATCCTCAAAAGTGTTTTATTCATATAATCATGTCTTTACTAGAGTATCAGTTACTTTGAGTTTTAACTTCTTTACTAAATCAACTATTTGAAGCCAGATCCAAAAATAGACTCAGCATAATTTTTGCATTGAAAAAGTTAACCCTTACTTTCTGATCAGTGTGTGTCTGACACCAACTGGTCACTATAAAGCCTCTTTTGGTCACTTTCATTGTAGCTGGCTGTGATGTTGTGGGCTCAGTGAAGGGTCTCTTTAGAGTGTTTCCTCATTTAAATGGAATGGGCCAGCAGATGTTTACCATTGTCTCAAACTTCCTTTAAGGAAGGGAGCTTGTAATGCTTCTAATAATAAAACGAGGGGAAACAGCACACCATAGTTCAAATGAAGAGCAGATATTAACCTGCATCAAAAATGTGTTTTTGACCAACTATCACATCAGATGTGAGAACATAAAGTGTTACCAAAATGCCTCCAAACTGTGAGACATTCATCAGCAATGTATGTGATATATGTTTTAGGATCGTTTATTTAGAATGGAGCGGTTTCTATTGTGATATAAATGTGAGAAGAAAACAAACAAATAGAAAACACATGTTGCATTTCATACTGTTGGTTTACTGTCAGCATCAAATTCACATTTCTCTCTTATTGCAGTGGTGAGTCAAAGAGCATGACGCAGAAAAGGCCAAACATTATTCACAGGTATGCTCTAAACAGTAAATTTTAAAAAAGTATGTCCGATGGGTCAACATGTCCTCGTGACCTTGTTATACTGGAACTCCTTTTTTGGCCTTGCATCTTATTCCTTTCCATATCAAAATAGCAGCTATACCGCACAACACACCCAGGACGAGCACAGGAGCTCCCAGAGCCAAAGCCACTGTCGTGTTAGCTCCCACTGCTATAACCACCCCAGCTACCACTAACACAACAGCTGCCGCAAACGCCGCACGTATATTCTTTCTTTTCCCTTTTTTCTCCTTCTCTCTCTCTTCCTCCTGCTTCTCCCTCTCTGCAGCCCAGATTTTTTTCTCTTCCTGTTTCTTCTCCTCCTCCTCCTGTTTCCTGCGCTCCACTTCCTCTCGCAGCTTCCGCTGGGCCTTCTCATACATCTCATTAGTGTAGTGTTTGCCCCCATTATCCTGTACCATTTCCTTGATCATGGTGATCAGCTCTTTGACCTGCACTTGGTCGTCTGGGTCGTTGTTGTTGAAAGCGTGGTATCTGCGTCCAAACGTGATGGAGAGTCTCCGCAGCTCCTTGCACTCCTTCAGAGCATTGTCAGCTTTAGCCTGATCTTTACATGTAAACAGCATGATGGTGTACATGGAGGCATCCTCTCCAAAGTTATCTTGGATCCACTTCACAGCGTTTCGCTCCTCCTCAGTGAACCGCACTCCGAGCCTGATCACCAGCAGGAAGGCGTGAGGGCCGGGCACGGACATCTCGACACATTCCTCTATCCTAGTCTTTAGTTCTTTCTCTGTGATGTCTGTGTCAAAAAGTCCAGGAGTGTCGATCACCTGGACCGCAGTCCCGTCCACTTCCCCGCTCTGTGTCGCACAGTTTTTGGTCACAGAGATGGAGCTGGGGTCTTCTTTGAATGCAGCTCTCCCAAGGATGGTATTTCCTGTTGCACTCTTCCCTGATCCCGTCTTCCCCACCAAGACGATCCTCAAACCACTGGACAAGTACAGAGCTGTAACAGCAGAAGCAAAAAATAATCTAGTTGAGTGCACGGACTCCATTTATCTCTCCCTCTATCTATCCATCCATCCATCTCAGTCTCTATTACTGCTGACATGCATTTGAAAATGTATTTTTCAGGTGCTCGATAATCTACATGTATTTGGTGATAAACAGTTTTATGCAGAAAAGTGTGGAGACTTGCTGTAAGCTAGCAAATAAATATATATTAAAGCTCCTGTGGGAAACTTTTTGTTTGAAGCAATTTTAGCGCCCCCTATGGACAAAGCAGTAGCTCTTGCCTCTTTGCTGATCTTGTCCTTTACAATTATTTTAAGTGTGGCTTTTTAACAAATCTCATCCTCTTTGTGTTTTACAGTTATTTGTACTGCTCATTGATAATCTTGGCTGTAGAAAATGTAAAGAAAGGCTATTTCTCCAATGTGCTGTAACACACCTACCCCACAGCAGCAGTTAGAGGCATGAAAATAGCTATAGATGGTCTTTTTCGCTTTAATTTTTTATTAAGAGGGATCACTTTGTATTTCAGTCTGTTTCACAACCAGTTAAAAAGTCCCCGCAGGAGTTTTAAAAGTCATATATTATGCAAAATACACTTTTCCCTTCATGACATCACAAAGGGCAGTAACCCCTCCCCCAGATGGGTGACACTCCCACAGCTAGGTGTTTGTTCTGCCCTCTGAGTCTGCCTTCTCACCGTAAACAATTGGGCATGGAGCGAGAAAAGTCGGAGCCACCCAAGCCCTTCTACAGGGGCGTGGTCAAACATAGCTCATTTACATTTAAAGCAACAGACACAGAAGCAGCCTGTTCTGAGCAGGGCTGAAATAAAGAGGTTTATAGGCATGATCAAAAACAGGATCAGAATGGATTTAAATCAGATTTTGGGGAGCTCTTAGACTTACATAAAATTGTTGAAAATGAGTATATAATATGTAATCTTTAGGAATGTGCAGGATAAAATGCTTTCCCCCAGTAGGTCAACAGTAGTACTGCAACTAAAACAATCCCCTTTGGCAACAAAAAAGCATTATATAAGGGAAACAATCTATCATTTTCAAGACATTTCATCAAGACATTTTTTTTAATTTATTTTGATTTTATTTCTTATTTGTATTTTGTCTTAGTTTTAATCTCAATTTAATATTTGGATTAAATGTTTTGGAAATCATCACATTATGTTCTTAATTACATTTGACACAACGTCCCAACTATTTGGGAATTGGGTTTGTAAATAATTCTTTAGTTTTAAATAATTAAATAAAGAAGGTTACATTTGTTCAGCTTATCTTCAGCCAAACAAACATTATATATGTGACATCATCCAACAAAAATGTTGGTTATGGCCACATGGGACTAGGCGGGCGGGGCCAGCCAGACTACTCTTACATGCAGAGAAATGAACAACACAATGTGGGGGCAAACCCAGAAACATTGTGGCATTTGACGGCAAACTATTTGAATTTAGATGGTCGAGCAGCATTTCTGCACAATTAGAATATGCTACAGATTAGCTTTTTAGTTTTGTGAGGGAGAAAAAAGTTCTGCTGGATGTCAACGAAACACACAGGGTTGTGTGGTTGTAAATTTTGAATGTTAAAATGACTTCAGATGTATTGAATTGCGCAGGATAACTTGGTAACCAATTTGCAGGACAACTGAGTTTAAAATCTGTTTTCTAACTGTGTGTAGCCATACATGTACCTACATTGACATCAATAGACTCTTGTTTTATTATGAATGAAAAACCATTTGAATAATGACTCTGTGACATTGAAACAACCCACAGCGTTTATATAAAACACCATTCATCAGAATAGAGCAGCTAAAAATATTGAACTGTGATACTAGAGAAGAAAAATACCACAAGCAACCCAAAACTAGTAAATCTACAAGCATAAATTAACCATGTTTTTATGACTGAGCTGATATTTGAATGCTTTATCAAATCTTCTATTTATAAGTGGCATACAGATAAATGTGTGTGAAAGTATTCTGAGAGGTTTCATGAAAGAAACAATGAATGAGCATACCTTCAAAGTTATTCAGACCACACCCATCAGAGCGAGGCAGAGTTTTCTGCTTTTTCTCTCGCAGTGGTATTGCTGTGATTTGAAGGGACACCAATGAGACACAAAAAAAAACAGACTCTTAGTCACTGACATCATTATCAAGGTCTATATTTTTTTCAGTTCCCCCCTCGGCTCTTTTCAGTGTCA